ACGGTCGACGTCCCGTCCGCATTCAATCGGATCAAGGAAAAGAATTTACCAATCGAGAATTCTAACAAGCTTTTAAATCCATTCATTTTTTTACCACTCGTAATACGGACACTAAATCCAGTATGGTGGAACGATTTCAGCGTACACTCAAAGCACGCATGTGACGTTATTTCACTCGTCATAAAACCAGACGGTATTTAGAAGTTTTACCCGATTTAGTGTATGCTTACAATCATACCTATCATCGGAGTATCAAAAGAGCACCAGTTCAAGTGAATGGTTCTAATGTGTTAAAAGTCTGGAAAATTTATATGGGAAATCCAATCGAAAACAGTTTCTTAAACCTCAGTTTAAAGAAGGAGATCAGGTACGCATCAGTTAAGCCAAACGCACATTTGAAAAAAGGATATTTACCTAACTGGACCACAGAACTGTTTACCATTTCTAAAAGAGTTCCTGGAAGGTATCCTTACGTGTATAGAGTGCAAGATTATAACGGAGAGGAATTAGAAGAGACTTTTTACGAAAAAGAATTACAAAAGATCATTAAAAAAGACGACGTGTACGAAGTGGAGGAAATCTTGGGGTATAAAAAGCGACGCGTAGGGAAAAAAGTCATTCAAGAAGTCAAAGTTCAGTAAAAGGATATCCCCCTAGTTTCGATTCATGGATTCCCCAAACGGATCTCATCAAATAACTCCTCATTGGAAATTTTGTGGAGAGAATGTTCCTCGAGAAGAAATCGTTTATTTTGCACAATTATTTATCTGTGTATCTCTCATCGTCACCAGTGTGGTCATGTTAGCTTTACATGATCCTAATCGAGAATATTGGATGGTATGTGTCAGTTCTTCAGTGGGTTATATCATGCCTAGTCCTACGATGATGCATCATACACCTACCCCTAAGAAGACCACGAATGCACAGGGTTAATGTCTAAAAAAAAATAGATACACCACAGAGTACATAAAATGGGGAAACAACAAAGATTTTTTTTTCATTTCTGATCTGACTGAGGACAGAGCAACATGGAATTTTTAAGCTCAGAGTATCGTTGGAAAATGCAAGAGCATACAGGTTCCACTAAAAAAGGAGAATGGATGAAAAACAAAGATGAATGTATCCAAGATTTCATGGATAAGAATCCGGGAGAAACAGGAGTCAATGATGTGTACCTGTATAAGAGAATCAAATTACCGGACCATCAATGTGGACAACTTATAAAAGTATTATTAGGGCCATGGCAACCTCAGTATCAGGAATTCAAATGGAAAGTAAAATACTTTTTCGCTCACAAAACAGAGGGACCAGCAAGGACCTGGATTCAAGGGAAATGGATGGAAGAAGTCCGAGATTGTATCAAAGATTATGTAAACAAAGTGCTCAAAGAAGGATACGACATCATGGACTGTGCTTGTGAAACAGAATATTTGTACATGAGGAGAACTTTTCCTATTCAAAAAGAACTATGCCAAAGTATTCCATGTTTGTTACTTTAATGTTGTCGTGAATTAAAAATAAAAAAAACCTAGGAAAAAAATGTCCTTTTTTTTTACTCTCTCTCTCTTCAGCTGTGTATAACATTTTGTTACAATGACGTCACAATGCATAGCTAGCTGTGACTTGAATCTCTGCCAAGATTGTGTATAATCTGTGTATTGACTGACTCAGCATAACGTAAATAAAACGTACACAGTAGTATCTCAGTAAAAAAAAACGTAGGTCAAACACATTTTTGCACACCACCCTATAAATAAGGTATATAAAGCTTAGCTTTGAGTACACTGCGCTCAATCATGTTTTTTACGTGGAGACTGTTGTATTTGGTTGACGTAGAAAAGTATTACTGTCATTACTGTGATAGGGAGATGATCCATGTGCGTACATTTACGGTGTATGATTATCCCGGATGGCATCACAGAACTTATCAAATTTGCGAGCATTGTGAAATGCCTTTTCCTCACTGGTTTGTGGATGATCCCCCTTCTATGGAGACCTGTGGATGTAGCTGGTGCGTGAAATATTTCACATGGAAGTACGGGGCAGAGAATATGGTGCCCCTATGGGTCAAAGTAACGAGAAAGAGAGCCTTAAAGAAATGCCTGACCTGCTGGCAGGAAAATACGGAGAGGAGATGGAAGTGTCAACAATAACCGACAGTATCCTTGCAGTGGGGAATGTGTCGAGAACTTTGTCAAGACTTGCTACAGACTTTGTCCATTATGTAGATATGAAGGAAATAAATCATAAAATAAAAAAAAAACTTTCCTGAGATACTAAAAATAGATTTGATAAAAAGGTTATATAAAGAGGTATGACCAAAAAAAAAATTATTCATTCTGAAAAAGTCAAGTCTAAAAGTCAGACGCAAAAAAAAAAAAAAAAATATGCAGTATCGTTGGTATTGTGAGAGTTTATTTGGATGTATTTACATGCAGGGACCCTGGATGAAAACTAAAATAGGAGCAATCCTAGATTATTTTGAAAGTCATCCAGGAACATCTACTCAAGATGTGTGGTTGGAAAAAAGACAGAAATTCTTGCATCCTAAAGGATCTAAGGTGAGGGTAAAAATATACCATCATTATCAGCAGTACAAATGGTTGATCCTAGGTCGTTGTAAATTCCAGACTCGTGTGGTTCTGGCTGAAGGTGAATGGTGAATGGTGCTGGAATATAGAACACTGTCTTCGTGATTTGTTCTGGAACCAGCAAAAAGATGGACTGAGGATTCCTAGCTATTGCTGTCCTACAGAGTACCTGTATTGTCGTATTCATTTTTCCCAGATTAAAGATAGCTTGGAAAAAGAAGAGAACCAGTGTTTTGAGACAGTGATTCCTTACAGATCCGAGGAAGAAGTGTACTAATATGCCAAATAAAAAAATTAAAAACAAAAAATTGTTGTTATAAATAGAAGGGTCATAAGTTATTTTGTCTCAGTATCTCACTGAACATGGCCGAGAGCAGTAGTTTTTACATGACTTTACCAAATGATGGGTACATGCAATCTTTTCCGAGTAATACGACTGCTCAATTTAAAACCTTATTACCACAAACAGTAGATTTTACAGATGGACAATGGGAAGTGGCTTAACAGAATTGATGTATCCCATTTCATTGAAAAACATCACAGAAGAGGAAGCTTATTTTGACATCCTGCTTCCTCAGTTTTATGCTTCAAAAGTCCAAGAACCTAATGTTTTTAAATGGGACAGATTTAAAATGAAAACCATAGATGCGATGCCATTAAGCCAATGTCCTGTACTGTTAGAATGGGCCCATACTGAATTTGCTAATCTCATAACGATAGACCAAAAGATGGAAATTAGACGAATTCACTTTAGACCGGGGCCTTACATTCATCCCATGGCTTTAACAGGTGAAATCAGTCTTGGACTGGATAGAAGTTTGAAAAAATTATGGAAGTTTTTGGGTGATTCTAAAAAAGAGAATGCCATGAAATTAATATATCATGACAAACATGATAAAGTGATGTATCAGTTTATTGGGAAAAACTTAGAAAATATCCCTTATGCATTCGTTTCCCCACAGCCTTAGCTTATAAGCTAGGAATAGAAAGTAAGAAGGTGATTCTTCAGAACAATACAGAAAACATGACCAAATGGATCAACGTTAGTTACATGGGCAACAATACCGTAGATTTATATGAAAATCTGAAATCCATGTACGTGTATTGTGACTTGATTGAACCCCAGACGGTAGGATCCAATGCCTTGAAATTATTAAGAGTGGTTCCTTGTACACTCAATCTGGAAGATAAAAAACAAGCTAAATGGGAACCCGTTAGAGCGGAATATTTGAAACTGAGTAAAAAAACATTTCGATAGCATTGAGATTCATATCATGACTCCTTTAGGGACTCCCATGCCTTTTTTAAATGGAAAATCGGTCGTGAAACTTCATTTCAGAAAAGTGTACTGAGATGAGTGTACATCTTTTTTGTTACATCCTATTGGGAGTGATGACTTATCTGATATGCTGTCTGTATTGTATTCAACCCTAAGACAGGGGTATAAAAAGGAGTCATTTGAGTGCATTTAGGTCAGTCTGACACGAGTCATGAAACATGCAGTATCATCCCGGATTATTGAGACAAAGAGGACACGGACAGTTTGTCTATCATAGAGGTTTATTACGTCAAAAAGGACACGGTGTAGGTGGAATTATCTCTGGATTGGTTGGAGCCCTTACCCCTAATTCTATTGGATTACCAATACCATCCATATTTCTTCCACCTCATTTAAGGAAATTTCGCCAGTATTTGAAATCTCAAAGAGGAGGAAATTTTTTAGACTTCATGTCGGGACTTCTACCTAACTTACCTATAGGGATGACTTTAAAAGAAGCTGTCCAATTAGGCTCAGGCCGGCGACAAAGAGGTCGAGGATTTCTTAAAGATCTAGTCAAAATGGGTCGTAATCAAACCTTGATTGCCAGAGCTAAAATAGGAGCAGATATGATTAAAAAAAAGAGAAATATCAAAAATGCTCTTTTAACTCATGGACTCAATGCCGTTAAAAATACAGGCTTATTTGCTCTCAATAGAGGAGGAAGTTTAGTCTTTAAAAAGATGAATAAGAAAGGTCAAGAAGGTAAAGGGAGAAGAAAAAGAAGAAGACGGCAGAAAGGCAGAGGATTTGTTAGAGATTTACTGAAAACGGGAGCTAAACATGCCTTGACTGCTGCTGCTAGAACGGGGTTAGATGTGTTAGAAAATAAGAGATCTTTAAAAGACGCTGTCAAAACTCACGGAGTACATGCCCTGAAACAAAGAATGAATCTAGGAGGTAGTAAGAAAAGAAGAAAAAAAGACACCTGTGTTAGCCCGAGGAGGTCCTAAGAGAAAAAGAAAAAATCAAGGAGGCAATATTCCCAAGAAGAAAAAAAGGGGTTTAGATATCTTTGATTGACACTATAAATAGGGGAGTCGAGTGATATTGACCTTCATTTGAGAAAAATCAATCCTAGTAGACACATCATGTTGCAACCAGATTCCTGTGCGTGTGGGATGAACAATTTAGAATTGTTCCAAGTCCACCCGACTAATATTGCTTTAGAAGACTCCAAATGGGAAGAATATTACCCCATTTCCAGTACTTTAGATTCGGATACGGCTCCCATTGAATTTGAAATTAATGGACAAGGAGATCAATATCTGGATTTATCTCAAACGTATGTTCAAATAGTGTGTAAATTTACCAAAGATGATGGTACTAATCTGACTGGAGGTGGGAATACTTGCGCCCCGGTGAATAATATCTTACATTCCTTGTTTACGGAAATCGATCTCAGTGTCAATGGAAAAATAGTGACTCCTGGAACCGATACTTATCCTTACAAAGCTCATCTGGAGAAATTACTTTCTTACAAACCCAGAACTTTAATGACACAGATGAGAGCTTGTAGTCTGTGGGAAAAAGATGCAGCAGGACACATGGACGAAGTAGAAGTAGCAGACCTTGGAGTGGCTCAAAATAAGACATTTGATGTAACCCCAGGTGTAAGTGGTGGTGCTGATACTGTGACCATTAACCAACCTATCATCCCAGAGTTACCGGCCAATTCTAAAAACGAAGGATTTAGAAAACGTCACCAGGCTATAAATGATAGTAAGAAAATAACCTTGTATGATCGTTTACATCTGGATTTATTTCAACCCAATTTCTACCCAATGGAGTAGATGTCCGTTTGAGATTTAATCGAGCTAAACCTCAGTTCTATATGATGATCAAAGCAGGAAGTACGGGAAAAGTCAAAATATTGAGCATGATCTTGTGGGTAAGAAAAGTCAAATCCACGGCAGTCATGATGAATGGTATTAATCAAGGTTTGAACACTCACAGAGCTTAATATCCATTGAGAAGAGTCGAAGTGAAAACCTTTACTATACCCACAGGAACTCAATCTAAAATCACGGATCATCTGTTTCAAGGCCAGATGCCTAAACGCATCATTTTAGGCTTTGTGGACAATGCGGCTTTTAACGGAGATAAAACTAAAAGTCCGTTTCATTTCCAAAACGTGGGAATTAAGAAATTAGATGTCAGTATCAACGGAGAGACCATGAGTACTCGTTGTTTCGAACCTAATTTCAATGAAGACTTATATCTGAGATCTTATCTGAGTTTATATCAAGCACTGGGAAAATTAGAAGAAGACTGGGCCCCGGACATCACCCTAGAAGAGTATAAAAACGGATACACTTTATGGGGCTGGGAATTCACGAAAGATCAAGAAGCGCAATCGGATAAATTCCATATCATAGAAACCGAAAATCTGAAAGTAGAAGTCCAATTTACGAACAATACGGTGAACACCTTAAATTGTGTGGTGTATGCAGAATTCGATAATCTGTTAGAAATTAACAAACAGAGAGAAGTCAGTATTGATTATTAATGGATACAGGACAGTTAAAAGAAGTCTTATCCAGAGAATTAAAGAGTTCTTTTGGTGGAGTGTACCCTTTAGATTTATTACTGAATCAATTAAGACCTCAAGAAAAAGCCATTGTGGTGAATACGGATCCTCAAGATAGACCTGGAGAACATTGGGTATGTTTGTATTTGTCCAGTCCAGTCATCGAATATTTTGACTCTGATGGATTTCCTCCCTTACAAAAAGAAATTCAAGATTTTATCCATCGTCATGCTCACCAATGGATTTATAATCCGTACCGATATCAAGATTGGAATACAGATGTGTGTGGACAATATTGCGTGTATTATTTACATCAAAGACACAAGAAGAGAAAAACCGCAGAAGAGTGGTTATTCCCCTTTGACCATAGTACAGCATTACAAAGAGATCATTATGTAGCTCAATGGTTTAAAGACACATCATAAAAGACCTACGGGTCATGGACAAACTTGTCAATGTTTCTATCAAAATGTATTGTAATTGTTGTTATTGTTATAAAAAAAGAAAAAAAAATCTGTTCTTGTTTTTAAATAAAAAAAAGGGGGGGTGATACTAAATATAGATAGAAAAAGGTATAAATACAAGGTGTAAAATGAAAAATGTATCAGTTATTGATTTGTCTTAATCATGGGTAACACGTCTAGAAAAGAAAAGAGTAAAATTCAATTTGGAAAGAGAGTTCTGAGAGAGGAAGATGTGGATAGGGGTATACCAATTCAAATACATGAGGATGGAACTATTGAGATCATTTCTCATGAAAAATGTAATCAATTATGTCCAGAAAAGGGTGATCCTAATTATGTGAGAGATTACATTAAAAGACCCTTGACTGCACAAGAAGAAGAAAATACCCATTTATTACCAAAAAAAGATTAACCTGAAAGACGTTTGACTGCAGAAGAAGCCAAGATGTGTCCAAAAAAAAGTATTTTGAGAAAAAAAAAGAAAAGATTGACACAGGATTCTAAACCAAGAGAAGAATCATTGTAGAATCTGAATAAAAATAATTTTTAAATATCTTGAATTGTTATCTATATAAAAAGTGTGTGTGTCACAAAAAAAAAAAAATCATTTTTTCAAACATGAGTCTGACAGAAGGATTAATCATGGAAATCAGAACTCAATTGTTGAAAGACATTAAAACTCATTATGAGAACAAACATAAAGAAGATCCAGGCAATCATTATATTGCCAAATTTAAAAAGGAGAGATTTAGAAGAGCTACTAATTGGATATTTAATTTAACTGGGGGTCACCAAGAGGATAAAGATTAAATCATTAGAAGTGATTATCAATACTTGATCTTACAAAAAGAAATGCATCCAGAAACAGGAAAACTTCATCATGTGAGAGGATTCATTCAAATGAAACACTGGACCAATGAGAGAGACATGTACAAAATCATTCATGGGTTAACCTGTTTTGATATGTCTCACAGCACACCAGAATTAGAAAGAACATTTTATAGGCAAGGTGGCAACTATGAAGAATATGGGACTTTAAAACCTGAAATGAGAAACAAAGAATTAATTCCAAGAGATTGTAGATTTACTTGAATAAATCCATTAATATTGAGCTTGTGTGTGTGGTTTTTCCCTAGACTGTGAATCACTGCCAAGTATAACGTTATAATATAAGGTTTGTGTATTGACTGACTCAGCATAACGTAAACAAAACGTACACAGTAGCGTCTCAATAAAAACGTAGGTAAAACACATTTTTGCACACCACCCCTGAGGGTATAAATACAAGGTGTGAGAATGATCATGATCAGTTGACCCTAACCATGAGTCAAAGTCAGTTTGGAAAAAAACCCAGAGACTATGGATATAGATGAGGAGAAACAACAGTTATTAGAAAAAATAGAGACTATGGATATAGATGAGGAGAAAAAACAGTTATTAAAAAAAAAGATTGATCATGCATATGGAAGAAGAACATTACAGTCCTCAAAGAAGAATAGAAGTGAAAACTCTGGAATAGGATGAAGAACCCTGTAATGTTTACTTGGGAGAAAATGAGAAGATCCATGACCCAAAGAACCAATTCAGAGATTATCCAGTTGCCATTAATTGGGCATTTGTCATCCATGATGTGAGAGAAGAAGAAGATATAGATATGTTCATGAGCTGTGAAGATGAATTTCAATACCTGATCTTACAAAAAGAAATTCATCCCTGGACAGGAAAAGTGCATCAAATCAGGGGATTCATTCAAAAAAAAAAAAAAAAAAAACCTGTAGGAGGACTGAATGTGGCTAGAGTTCACTGGTATGCAGATTTTTGTGTCTCACAGTACACCAGAATTAGAAAGAATGTTTTACAAGCAAGGTGGCAACTATGAAGAATATGGAATTCTGAAACCTGAGAAGAGAAACAAAGAATTAGAGTCCAGAGATGCATATGGGAAATGGGAAATTGGTGCCTGGAGAGATTACATAGAAAAAAAGAGAGAAATGATCAAGGATCTGGAAAATTCAGATTAAAATTTTTAACATTTTTGTTATTGTTGTTATTTTTTTGTTCAGGTTATATATATAAAAAGGTGTGACATTAAAAAAAAAATATTCCCAAACATGAGTTTACAGGAGATACCAGGAGATTTATTAAACTTTCCTGTAGAAGCTATTGTACACCAATGTAATTGTTTGACTGTAAAAGCTCATGGATTGAGTCAAAGTATAGCTATGAAATACCCCAGAGCTAATCTATATGCTACCCGCAGACCTTTAGGGTCTAGAAATTTAGCCCTAGAAGAAGATAGAGGAATTCCGGGCACCCTTAAAGTGTTTTCTTTACAAAAACCTGTAGTCATTTGTCTGTTAGCTCAATGGGATTATGGAACAGGACATTATAATCGCCTACCTTATTATCAAGATACACCAGAAAATAGAGAAAAATGGTTTCAAGATTGTTTACAAGAATTGGGAACTTTACCTTACGAGACTTATGCCTTTCCTTATAAAATAGGATGTGGTTAAGCAGGAGGAAATTGGACTCATTATAGACAATATACTGAACAATTTGTAAAGACTTATCAAAAACAAAGGTACATTCTTCATAAACATTGATTGTGTGTTATAAAGATCGACTGTGTTATAAAAAAAATGTGTTTATGTTATTTCATTTTTTAAAAAAAGATTAATGTTTTTAAAATTTCAAAAAATAGTGACCTGGTGTTTATACGTTTCTATAACCTTGAATGTTTTATAGGTATCTTTTCGAATCATTAAAGTGGCCCTTAAAAGGGCCATTTATACGTTTCTATAACCTTGATTTTTTTAAAAAGGTATCTTTTCAAATAAGTGGCCCTTAAAAGGGCCGTTTATACGTTTCTATAACCTTGAATGTTTTATAGGTATCTTTTCGTATAGGTATCTTTTCAAATAAGTCGCCCTTAAAAGGGCCGTTTATACGTTTCTGTAACCTTGAATGTTTTAGAGGTATCTTTTCGAATCATTAAAGTGGCCCTTAAAAGGGCCGTTGGTTGACAAGGGTTTACTCCCTGAGAGGCCTGCCTCTACCTCTGCCTCTGCCGCGGAACTCTGTTCTGCTTGAGAGGGGAGGTCGCTGGTTACCGGTCAACGGCTCCAGAAAGTCCGGCCTTCCGGTTGGGGATAGAGATGACTGTCTTGGAGGAGGTGGTCTCAATCCTCGCCCGCGAGGTGCTGCATATCTCGAACGCCTGCGTCGACAAAGAGGGCAGCATTGGTTCATCTGTACCAGCACAGCTGAACACTCAAAACAAGCCGGTCGACGGTGACACTGGCAGCAGATGTAATTGGACATCCGATCCTCCTCCAAGCAAACTACACAGGAATCCAGCCTGCCTGCCGCTACTTGAATCCCGGGGGTGGTGGTGGTGCCAGCTCCGGGGAGGGTGGTGGTGGTGGTGGTCTAGCCAGCTCCGGGGAGGGTGCCCAGTCATCGTTGACGGGAGGGGACCAATCCGAATCAACGGATGACGAATCCCCCTGTCCAGCCCAATAGTTGTTAACGGGAAGGGTCCAATCCGAATCTACGGAGGAATCCCACTGTCCAGCAGCTGCTCCCGGGGGATGACTGGGTGACCAGGTAGGAGTAGGTGGTCTTCTTGGAGGGGACGGGCTTCTCGGGGTGTCCTCAAGTAGTTCCGGACTACTCAGAGGGGCCGAATAGGAAGCTGGTGGTGGTGATTCTGTCCTCCTCCTTCTCTTTGGCTGGTCATCTTCATCACTGGTAGACGGCGATCTTCTTCTTCTTCTATGGCGTCTTCGTCGTCTCCTCCCCCTCATCAGGTCACTGGATAGGCCCAGGGTAGCTATCGGCCAGCGAGCTAACTCCCTGCCGGTGGCTACATCTCTAACAATGCACGTTCAGGATCTCTACCCCTGGAATGATGTAAAAGTTTTGAACATCGTCCTCAGCCATAATGATACGGTGTCAGCAGAACTGATACTAACAGAATGACATCAAGCTCTGGCAAGCTGCCGTATTTATGCGCACAGCGCGAGCGTAAAAGAGAGCACCCTAAAGCGAGAGCCAAAAAAATCATGGCGACGTCAAATTGTGTTATTTTGTGCTTCACAATCTATACATTGGAGTGAATAACTTATTATGGGATTAGAAATACTTTCAAACATCTAAGCCATAAGATGAAGGTAAGTTTCAGGCATGATTTCACAGTATTTTTGATGCATGACATTTATCTGTCGTCTAGAAAAGAAGCATTGATGTTGAACCGAAGGACTAAAATCGGGTCACCTGAATAAGTAAAATAAGTATTTAAACCCTTTTTAGAGTGTGATACAAGGAAAACCTAATCTATACAATGAGATTAAACCTAGGGAAAAGTGTTGATGCTGTTTTTAAATCAAAGGAATGGTTTCAAGTGTAAAAATATACCCAGAGTCGATTTAGGCATAGACACAAGAAGGCGAAGGTCGGCCATTTTTTTTTTTTTTTTTTTTTAGAAAATCACTGTATAGACTTGTAGAGAGA